CATTTACTGCATGTTTACACCCACATGAATGACTCTCTGGTGGCTACTCTGTCAGGCAACCTTCATTGACGCCCAAGTATTCAGCCCAGGCCTGCAGCCCTGTAAAAGAGAGCCCAGAATTGTGTTGTGTTGCATAATTTCCTTTGTTCCAGTGAATGCCAGTAGCATCTTTTCATACTCTTTCTGGATTAGCGAACAGTGATGCTATGTCGCTCATCAATGAGGCCCTGTAGCACTTTTGTCCGTGGTGCTGATCTGCGGGTGCGCTATGCCCAAAGCAGTGGTATACTGTTTCAAAACAGTGGTGTATTACCTTTGAAAAATGGAAGTTGAAAAATGATGGCAATTCCCAGCAGCAGGTCCTTTGTTCCGGGTACAGTCTTTTGTTACACAGGCCAGCTCTTTTGTCCAGAACCGGGCACCCCGGCTCTGCGTATAAACACACGGTGCCCAAAACCGGGCTTCCCGGTAGGAAGTGGTTTAGTCTATTTCAGCCCTACTTTATGCGCTTTGTCAGGTCTTGTTGCTTATTTCCACTGGAAAGTGTGATAGTGGTACTTTTTAATCATTATGCAGTAAAAAATAACGCTAAATCCTACCTGCATTTTTTCATCATATCTCATATTTCAGTTTCAGAAATGCCCAAAAGAAGTGAATCAGGGACAGAATTTTTTCCAATTTTGTTTGCATTACTTAATGTGCACAATATGCACAAATAAACCAAACCTTCACTTTCAGGATTTTTGGGGGGGGGGGTGGAGATGGTGGTATAGTACTGGTTGTTTTGGCAACTTTGATGCAGACAATGGATAACATTTGCATTAGTAAACATGACATGGCCAAATCAGTTGAATACAGCATACCGGTATATAAAAAAAAATTACCAGCCATGCCAGGGGTCTAGAACACCAGAACTGCCAAAGAGAGAAAAGCTCAGAAGTCTGTGTTGCCATTAAAGTGATAGTACATGGAGTCATTGCAACCCCATAGGGCGATGCAGAGGGGTTTACCTTTCAACATACACTAACCCAAAGAGACTTTCCCAAATTTAACGGATGCAATACCATGCTTAATTGAAAACAAGGTCAAGAAATCTAGGCTTATTGCCACTTGTTATTGAACTGAAAATTATAACATAGGGGAGCCTCACTTCATATTTGTAGTTTAATGTTAGAATTGATTTGAACTTGTTTATGCACCAACCACTCCCCTATGTTTGTTTTTAACCAGTGCATGTATGTATTGATAAACTATCAAGAAAACAGTAATAATCAATAACACAAATTGCCCAACCCTGACAAGGTGTCATCATTCAAATTTTTCAAAAATATGACCTCCTTATCCAGAATATGCAAAGAAACATTACATATCCAACAAAACACAGTTCACCCCTCTGGCTGCCAGACAGTGTTCCACTGAAGTTGCCTTGGAAATGTTCTTTCGGAAGGCCCTACATAACGGAAGGCGACAAGGAGACGCATACTAAAAGGCACGAACATTTACTGAGAGATGTTCCATAGTGCGGGTTATCTAAAATGTTTGCAATAGGGGGGAAAAACAAATAAATAACATAAAATGTTTGTCAGGGGAACTGGTTCAATTTCAGATTTAGGTACAAATTTTTACAAACCAAACTGTTACTTTAAGTTTTAATCTAAAACTTCCCATGGGAACATCTTCCAGATCAAAGGTTAGTTCATTTTCACTATTGGGGTCAAGTTCATCTGATTCACTTCCATTTGAATTAAAATTGGAATTAGTCAGAAAGGTCTTGTTCACCAAGATCTTGAAAAAAATCTCCAATAACTTTGAGAATCTTCCAAAATTCTTTAAGCCCACACAGTTCAGCATTGTCAACAATTCCTGAAACCCTCTCCTCATGATCGTGGCAATAAGACTCAGAATCAATGACCACAAATAACCAATATTGAATAAAACGACACAAACGTTTTCTTCTTTATTTGCAATTTTCACAACCTTGTACAAAAAAAGTCAGCTAAGGTTTAACTCAAAACATGATACGGACCACCTCACAAACAGAGGTTTGGATAACAGTGTCATTTCACCCAACAATAAAAATGTTTCATATTGGCCCTTGCTTTAAGACAGTATAAGCCAATACAACATTGCCATTTCAGTCACATGAGGTATGTTCTTAACCTGGTTGAGATGCTACTTACATCTGAGCCATAGTTTAATGGCAAAAACAGAATCTCCCACCAGTTAAAAATGCAATATTTGGAAAGATGAGCATCTTATCATTCCATTGATACAAGACATACATCAGTCCAACAATGGAACTAAAGTCGCAATGAGTCAAAGTCAAATATAAGCTATTGTTTGTCCAGATAAGCTGAGCAGCAAAGATAAAAGCCTCAAAACTGCCCTTGGTATAACTTCTGGGGCTTTGTGGCTGGGTTTAAAACAAGGGCAAAATAGATGTTTAGGTAATGCTCATACTTTAAGTGCCTCATCTCAAAATGTCATTTTTCAACTTAAGCCTGGTTTAGTGGTGATGGGTCACACATATAACACTTCTATCCTCAATTTTGACTAAATTTAAATCTAAGCTGTGTCAGAATTTTCAAATGCTATGGAAATTTGAAACCACAAATATGGAATTTTCCAGGTATTTCATCCCCGAAATGTCTTGACAGGATTTTTACTCCTACCCTGTGTTTTTTGTACAAATGTATTGAGTACTGTTACAGCTTCATTATGGTTGCTGGACCTGCTTCATGGCACAATTCTGGCATGTCATTAGTTTATCAATAGTCCATTCCTGTAGTTATACAGATGAGATTCCTGCTGCTGTTCTCAACAAGGGGCTGAACTGATTTGAGTTTCATATCCATATATCACCAATGCAAATGCATTTTGTTCATTTTACACTGTGCGCTGCAGATGATCTGAAGTTATAGAATTATTAACATCAAGATATTATACCAACGTAATAATACTGGGAATTTTATTAGTGGAACATTTATCATTCATTGTAATTTGCCACAAACACCAATGTACACCAGTCAGGAGCGCATGAGCAATGCACACTGCGGTAAAAGATGTACAAGTACCTACAATGTACATTGCCTTGATCTGTCTGTACGTGTTGCATTGTATTAGCGTGACTAGGCTGTAGCTATGCCGTTACTACATAAATTTATGTATGTTCCTGCAAGATGTGCCATGGAGGACAGTGAAGCGGCACTTGTTCACATCGTTTCCCAGTGTTAAATTCGCCTTTTTTTTTAAACTACGTCAACTTCGCTTTTAGGGAGTTATGGCAACAGTTATGGTTGTCTCCAAGGAAGAAGTTTCTCTCTCATTCAAAAGATGAAATCCGAAATGTCCATTTTTTCAATAGGACAGCATCAGCATGAAGAAAATGTAACCAGGTTGAGTTTTCGTATTCCTTACTCTTACCCGACACCGGTTCCTGCTAATTTTTCTTCTGTTCTTGGTCACACTCCACCTTTCTGTACATGTACGCTGTAGTGCAGGTACTGTGCGCGGCGGCGCTTCTTTCTCGATCACTTGAGCACAAATATTTATAGCGCCCTCTAGTGATACACAAAACTTTTTTTTGTCACTGCACGCATCTCCAAAATTTAAGAATGTCGTTCTTTTGTTTAAATTGAATACCGGGCATTCTTGGGTGTCAGCTGCGTATTGGACATTCTTGGGCGTCGTTGAGTTTACTTGTAAAGTGACGCAATAGCACAAGGCTGATTTCGATCCAGCTACCGCACGTCGACCTGTTTGCTCGTGCATCTACACAAATTTTGTGCAGCACTTGCTATCATCCTACTGACTACGTCAAGTGTGACCGGGTGGCTCCACTAATAACACTCTGGGTGAAGTTTTTTTTTATATATCTTGTAACTATACCCTTTGTGCATAGAACAAAATACAGTACATATGAGACAGAAAACTCAAAACAAAAAAAAAAACCACTTCACCCAGAGTTTTATTAGTGGAGCCACCCGGTCACAAAAATATGGAAAATTCTGTGGAGTAGTTTGGGGAATTCTACACTGCATCAGAAGGAGAGAGAGTTTCAGATGTTACCAATATGACCAACGACAGAAATTGACAGCTTACTGGAAGATTTCTTCAGAAATATTACCAAAAACAATGGTTAATTTCTACTTATTATTTAATTTAGATGAACTTGCTCCACTAAATATGTTGTTGCCGAATTCAATTTCAGTGAAATGGGTCACTCTGCAATGGAGTATACATGTATTTCACTTTAACACTGTTCCCTGCATTCGTAAAATCTAATACCATGGTAGTAAAAAAGAAACTGTAACCCACTGTGATGAGGTCACGGAGGATGCATATGGCACCTGAAGCAATGCTGAGGGTGTATGTATATATGTACACGTCTAAAATTTTGTAAAGTTTAAAATAAAAATGTGTGTGCGTCTTAATTTGGTAGGTCAATTAACTCTGCCTTTCCCAACAAAACAGGTAATTGCAGTACCTGTACATGTATGCCATTACTGATCCATTGTTATGCATGATTTTGATAGAATACCGGTATAAAAAAAATAAAAAGCAGCTTGATGTATGAGTAAAACGATTGGGGTTACACCATGGATCAATCTTTTTCTTGAGTATGTGTGGTTATGAGAAGAATCGGGAATAACTCGACGTTTCAGTCCTGAAGACGGACAGAGTACACTGAAATGTCGAGTTATTCTCCAGTTCTTCTCAGAACCCCACATACTCAAGAAAGAGATTGATCCATGGTTTAACCTCAATCGTTTTTACTCATATAGTTCTCTCACCATGAAACCTTCAAGTTTTATCAGCTTGATGTACTTCTCAGATGAGAGCTGGCCATGGTGTCAACCTTATCAAATATGGGATGGCGTCTTGTACTTGCGAAGTGGTGATGATAAGAAATAGTTTTATGAAAAACAAATTTCCCAATATCATGAGCATTAGGGCTGCAGCTACTCAAGCTACGTAAGAAAAGCATTAGAAGTACTCACAGTGCCCTCCATCCAAAGTCCCAATGTGGTTGGAGACTGCATACAGGTAGTATGATTTGTTTGGTTTGGGACCCCTTGTGTAAGGTGACATGTCCATGTTATGCAGTGGGAAATCTACCACTGTCTGCAGCTTCTGACGCCACATTCCTTCATAGTAAAATCTAAAAATGAAGATATTAATGCAAGGCATGTCTTTACCACATTCATTTATTAAAACTGGTCCTTAAATATTTCACTGAATTTCACCTCAAAACATGACTAACTTTTAAAACAATAATATATCCAGTGTTTATCGAAAATTCTAGAAGATAAGCAAAACATCTACAGGCTTTCTAAATGAGAAACACGCATGAAAAGTAGCATAAAATGCAACTACAGGTCCATGTGTGATGATCCTAGATGTTGGACTTTCCTGGAATCAAGTGTTCTTTTTTTCAGTACTTTGTAATGTGATCAAATTGTCAGAATTACTTGCAATTACTATAAGAATTCTGCAATTACTACATGTATTTACATCAAAACCAAAATTCACAAATCTTTGTCAAGGCTAACGTCAGTATTCACTAGCCAAGGTGGTTCATCACCACTAACGAGTTACCAACAGCTAAGAACAAAATATTTATCACTCAGAAAGCGGCATGCTGGCAAACTAAAACTGAACTGAGTCACTACAGGTCTATGGGGATAATACTATGGCTGCTACAGTTTCATTGATGTGGTAACGTATAAATGGTTGCTCATGGATATTTTTTATGAATCACGGATAATGAAGTACATACTCCTCATCTTTAGTGCAGAGTTTTTTAGGATGATGTATTAATTGTTATACAATTTGTGGAGGCTGGGGTCAGCAGGATCAGCATGCTGGTGGGAAATTGGTATGCCACAATTCCAATTAAATCGGAATGGTTGGCAAGTATGACAGTAATGTGATTGGCTGCCAATGAAATAACAATATTCATATGTGTCAGTTGGACTCGTTGTAGCTGTTCCTGCGCGAGCGGAAGGAGTGACTAACAAGCTCCTCTATAACTCGTGGTACATACAAAGAGCTAATGATTTTCCGCAATTGCGGAAAACAGATGGAATTTGCGGAATCAACACCTTGAAGAATCTGTTACTTGAAATGGTACCCCCAATTCCCCTGTAAAGGACTGTAAATGTGAAAACAAAACAAATTCCCGACCATAACAGTACCAAAAATAAATGCCCACCCAACAATTATTAAATGATCGCTATTAATGAACAGATTATGTCGCAAAAAAGCTAAATTTAACCGCCCCACTCCGGTATTTGGGTACTGGTTCGGCCGACACCAATGCTCAGCCAGCCAGCCCAGTGGCAGTGGGCCTGCAGGCACAGCGCGACATGACATGGCGCACACATTGTCTGTTGACGCGTGCACTGTACATAGGAGTAGACTAGCTGTGAAATGAAGGCACAATGAGGTTCATACTTGCATGCTTAGAAGTATATTACATATTCACATGAACGCCTAGAGTCAAGGCTAATAGCACATGGCGAGACGATCAAACCATGCCAGAGAAACGGAAAATAAAATGTATTTTCCTGGATTATATCAAACCTAGTGAGCTTGGTATACTATAGCTGAATAGGCCCTTGGAAGTATCCAAGTTTCACTCACAAATATGCATTTAGAGGCCAAGATTTAATGTCCAAATTTTGTCGCACAACCACTGAATAAAAATGGCGGTTGAATTGATGTCTGGAAACGGCTATAGCATGCAAAACCTATTCAATTATGCAACCGCACACGTATGCGACTGAGTATGGGGATTAACACATGAATCTGTCGTTGATTATTCTTAGACAGTTCCTAGAAAGTTTTGGGCGATGGCGCAGCAGGAAATTACGGCAGGACTATTTGACATATTTTTCTTTAATTTCTTTAATTTTTACAAACGAAAAATAAAAGAGTGTTGCAACAGTATAGTACAGACTATTTTTGAGCAGATTTTTTCTTTGCTTGTTTGGGAAGTTAGGTTGAGTAGACAATTGTATTTCATTCCCATTTGCATGTGTTTTACTTTTATGATTTGACACATGTATCAGCTATTTGATTAAACCTTTCCTCTGTGGTTAAGAAATTGTTGCCAAGTTTTTTGCAGGGGCATGCCAGTTGTTTTAACAAAGCTTGGTACATCATCTGTGGACAAAATGGCATCAGCTAATAAAAAAACCCGGCAACAGGCCCCACTGGTACATGTAAATGCATCAGAACGGGCAAAGCAGTTCACTGAAGATTTCTAAGCAGGTGGGGGAATCTTCTTCTGCAAATACTGTGATCACAGTGTGGATTTTACAAGGGTGGACACTGTGAAAGATCACTTGCAGAGTAAGAAACTCATCAAGAACAAAACTTCAATGCAAAGCAGCTGCAGAAGCAAAATCAAGTGCTACAGCTCATGGGGAGCCTTCAGTGAAGCAACAGGTCACTTTGACCGCAGTCATGCAATGTAAGAATCTTTGAGAGGAATTCATCCTTGACTTTGTCAGACTTTGTAAAATGGCAGACATTCCCCTGGAAAAGGTTGAAAAGATGCGGCCATTCGTGATGAAGCATTGCGAACAGGGAGGAACACTTCCACAGGCACAAACACTTCACAACCTCTATGTGCCCAGACAGTTTAAGGTGCATTTTGAAGCTCTGCGGCATCTTGTGCAAGGATCCAAAGTGTCTATCATTGCCGATGAGACGACAAGATATTCTCCTTCAAGAAAAGCCATTAGGTGAGCAGGAAGTGATCGCTAAGTCCTTCAAGAAGGTTTTCCAGGCAGCTTTTGACAAGCTAGAGGGGCACTTGATGGAGCACTAAGCATTCCCAAAATACAAGGCTGCAAGAGTCTTTGACCCATGACAACGTGGATCTGTGCCACATGACATATCGGACTACCAGAGAATTCCAGGATTTGCTGATCCCTCCCCTGAAATCATGGAGGAATGGTTGATATACATGAATGTCAATCCTGATGACATACCCCAACCACTGAACATTCCCAACTTCTGGAACTCTATGACAGGAAGGTTCCTTAAACTATCAGAAATTGCTTTGGAAGCCATCTGGATGGCAGTGTAAGGGTTGATGTTGAGCGCAGCTTCTCACAGTACAAACACCTGCTGAATGAGAGAAGAGAAAGCCTCACCCACAGCAACACCAAAATGATGGCTATGATGTACTTCAATGGTGATATTGAGGGTCAGCTGAGGTCATAAATCCTAAATTGGGACCTCCGAACTGTAAGGATTACGTACAGTTGGCACAAGTTTAGCAGTGACACAAGGTAAGGTGTAATTCTGGTTCTACTTGTCAAAAACCCTTCACATTTAGTGAAGTTAAATTGTACAGCTCAAATGGGGTTAAAATACATTTGCATGCATTGTAAACTTCATCTCTTTCATTAATTGATTTTTTAGCTATTTATTGATTTATTGCTTAGTAACTAGATGAAACAGAGTTTTTAATTCCTGAAACGGAATTCAAGGATTTGCGAAACGGAAAACACCTGTTTTTGAAACAGAAAATCACTGGCTCTAAATACATTTCATTGTAAATTTGTGGCTTGAAGTAAGGTTAGTAAAGTTTCACTTTCTCTGATAAAGGGCTTCGCGACAACTGGTGCGGGGCGCGCAACATTCTTCATGTGTCATGGCTTCATTGTTAAACCTATTTTTACATTGGTTGTTGCTTCACGGTTCATCAGCACACACAAAGGCGCAGACACAATGGAACCTCAGCGGTCAGCATTGGCGCATCAGTTGTGGGGAGACTGTTGCACCAATCTGTTCATCTGCTATTCTTTCACAATGCATTGGTGAATGCAGCGCCCATGGATCTGCAGAAGATGTTTCAAGACTACAGCAAAAAGGAGTCGCGGACTGCCCTGAGAAAGGAACACCACGGCAGGATATTATTTGTGCTGCCCGTGATTTAACAGTCCCACCAACAGCCAAAGTGGCAGATGGTGGAGATGCGTCAGTTGTGGGGGTATCAACGGCTTCATCAGGCATTGAGTGAGAGTTGACAGTGACCAGGGAATGGGACACCAGGGCATATATGCCCATGCTGCTGGCAATTCAACGGTCAAAACGGTAGCCCAGGCAGAGGGTGGTGATGCATCTGTTGGGAGAACACCAATGGCTTTGTCAGCTCCACCCATTGTTTACAGATCATTAATCCACAGCTAATCAGTGTAAACAACAGCCATGGAGCCAGAGGAGAAGGTTCTTGAAATCAAAACATGGGAGTCATAGAGTAACCAGGGAATGGGATACCAGGGCATGAAAATGTCCATACTGCTAGTGGTTCGATGGTTGAGACGTTAACCTAATCAAAAAGTGGTAGCGTGCTAGTTGAAGTGGCACCAACGGGAACGTGGGATTCTTCGATCAGTGCAGCAGAAAAATGTGCTGATATCAGACAAGCTGCAGGTGTCAACCATTCATTGACTGCATTTAACGACAGAATCAGTAATTAACTGTCCTTGAGTGCAGCTAATAAACAAAACAAACTTCGCTTTGCTGATATCTGGCAAACATCAGTGCTGCTGAAAACATTCCCCCAAGGTGGCGCTACATCTGGTGTCCAACCAGGACAGCTAACTGCAAGTATGCCTGCAGTAGTTGCAGAAATGGTAGCTCAACCAACAGAGGGGTGGTCTCACCCACTCATGAGACCTGACAGGTAAAATGGCACAACATCATACCACTGACACTTTGTAATGAACGCAATATTAACAGATGGGGGAGATAGAGAAAGTGGAATATCTTGCAGTGTCAGTAGGTCTAGCCCAGCAGGGTTTGCCAGATGGCAGGACAAGATTAACATACATATATAGCGACTTGGTCAATACTCTGAGAGCAAGATTTGAACCTGATGAACATTAAGAATTACACAGGGTGCAACTGAAAAACAGGAACCAGAAGAGTGGTGATACACTTTCAAAGCTGGCACAAGAAGTCTGTCTTCTTATTGACAAGACTTTTGGTGATCTTCCAACCGCTGGGGTGGCAAGCCAACAGTCACTAAATCTAGTGTGCAAGTTTTCTAGGCCAATGAGGCATTACTTAATAGTGGAAATAAGGTCCACTACGAATGGTGACATTCACAATGACATTCTGCTTGGACTCGAAATCTTAAGCAAACAAAACTTCATCACTGACATTGGGAGATGTCTCCAGCATGACAATTTAGAAATCCCTTTCAGAAACAGCACTGGACAACAGCAGAGCTGCAAAATTACTTTGAAAAATACTGTCTCGATTCCTCCATTGTCGGGGATGATTGTAGAAGGTAACATGGAGCAACATGACTGGGAAGCTAGTCATTGGATTGTAGAGCCAGTCCAGAATTTTGTAAAAAAGCGTAACATACTTGTCGCCCCAGCACTTGGTCTGACATGTCTTGGGTACCACTTTGCATCTTAAACCCCAGTGATGTCACAGTTGTCCAGTAAAAGGGAACAACAGCAGGGTTGTTTGAGACTATTGATGTCATTGGCCCTTCAATTTCCTGCGCAGGGGAAAGGACCCAAGAGATCGTTGGAGAGAGGGTTAAACAAGTTACGGCAGAGCAGAAGACAGAATTTCAAGAGATCCAACTCCCAGATGCTATGCAGGAAATGTCGCATCGTGTCTCAAGCAATCTGAGCAAGGAATGGAATGTCAGAATACAGAAGGCCAGATAGAAGAGTGGCCGGTGCCCAAAAACATACAGGAAGTGAGAAGTTTCCTTGGGCCTGGACTCGTACTACAGATTTGCTGCCAGCTTTGCAAAAGTAGTAAGACCTCTCCATAAGCTCATAGAGGACAAGGTATTCGTGTGGACACATGACTGTCAGCTGGCTTTCGACCAACTGAAACAGCAGCTAACAACTTACCAAGTGGACTGAAGCCACCTAGACCGTCACAGATGTCTTTACCAGGAAGTTTGTGTCTCAATTTGTTGTACTACGACAGGTACAGTTATTTATTTATCCAGGTATGCCCAACAGTTTACTAAAACTGGTTTTCATTGGAACACTGAAAACACTCATAAAAATGGTAGAAACCAAGGCGCTCCATGATGAAACAACAGTCTATACCTAACGAAACAGGAGAGAGGCTCTAGATCAGGTCTACTGGCTGATAATTCTGACAGGGACAAGGAGGATAGCACCGTAGGTATGGCTAGAGAAGCTCAGGGAGGTGACAACACGCAAGGATGTATAGTGGATGTCGATGAAGAGACGGGGATCCATCAGCTGCTCTCCTGCCAAATTCAAAGACTGATAGGCAAGAGGGAAGCGGCTGGAGATGTCGACCTCCTCAGTGTAACTGTGAATGGACCATTTAATGTACCAAGGCAACACATGTCAAGACAAATTTTTTATCTGATATCTTGAATCCCGTCTCATCTCCAGATGCCAAAAAAGAGCCAAAGCCTGGAACGCCAAGATTCTTTATGCCGTTGATCAGCCTCAACTGATGACATCACCTCCCTGTGATGAACAAACAGAGTGCTACAGGTGTTTCGAATGTGATAAGCTGTTTGGAGCTGAATCAGCAATGGCGAGGTACATGACAGAGCATCATCAACCACATGACCAGTTCCCCTGTTGGTTCTGTGACGCCATCTACAGCAGCTGAATGACCTGACCAGGCACATCCAGAGAGCCCATTCAGGCAGTCTTGCTGATGGGAACAAGTTACCAGCATCAGTCACCTCAAATGCCAAAGACACGCTACAGGCCAAAGGCTCTACGGTAACAGTAGTTTCAATTTAGCAAGAGGACCTTCACCCATAGATTTAATAAGTTTGAGAGACATAATTTAAAAAAAAAAAGGGAAAAGAACCTTCATTTCTGTTTAAAGGCAGTTCAAAAATAATTGAAATATTTACTGTGTTGAATGACAACATTCTCAGTTATTTCAAAAATATTGCTGGGTCCATCCGTAAGGTTGGGGCACAATTTGTAAAGGTGTCCTTGTTACAGCAGTAACTTTTACCACCTGTCATGACCTGTAGAGTAGGTCATTTAATCTGTAAAAATAACACACACCCATGCATTCAGCCTTGAAAGATGTATAACAATATCACTTTGGAATCCACATGCAGGGAAACAGCTGTTCATTTTTACGGAACTCGTGTAACAATTGACACCGTCACAAATTGTGCCCAAACATCATGAAATGACCCTGCTGCGAGGTGTTTTCTGCAGAAAAGTGACCATTTGGGGCATTTTTTTGCATGTACCTTTTAAGATGAATCAGGAGAATACGAGGTAGCTTCCAGATGAGGATGATCTTAGCAGAATCCCTGTTGCTTTTACACTTGGAACAGTATATAGCATTATCTCCAGTCAACTTTTCCTCAGTTGAGAATTTCTGCAGACATTGCTAAAAATGAAAAATCAATAGCCATGGTTCCCATTAGACTGTAAAGATCTGTGATCTCAAAAACATAAGTTGTTGCATGTCAGAATTTTCATGTTTTCCCATAGGTTTTGTACACATTTTTTCACTTTGCACTTTTATTGATTTTACCTGTGCTTCACCTGGGGATTCCTATGAGAATTTCAGACACATTTTCATTTACAGATAGTTTCAAGAAATTGATTCAATCTTTTTTTTCCAAAAAGATAAAGATGAAACAAGAAAATTCTGAAACAGCTCTGTGGTTGTTCACAACCACGTCCCTCTAGTTGGCTTTTTGCGAAAAGGCATTCTTTTTGTTCTTTTTTTTTTAAGGGGCTTTTCGGCACTTTGCGAGAAAGGTATTCTTTTTGTCCTTTTTTTTTTAGGGGCTTTTCGGCACTTTGCGAGAAAGGTATTCTTTTTGTTCTTTTTTTTTTTGGCTTTTCCACAAGTTGTGGAAAAGGCATTATTTTTGTCAACATTTTTTTCTTTTTCTTCTTCTCCTCCTTGTTCTTCCGTCAAAACCCTGTTCGTTTTGTACAGGGTTTTTCTGCACGCCACTTTAGTCCCTTTGCAAGTTCGTATCTTCATCAAAGTTACCTCAAGCAAAGACCCAATGGCACAGATGTGCCGCAAAGGATGACGTCATCATCTGATTTTTTATTGAATTTAGAGTATTTAGTTTTCCCTATAGGTTTTGCACGTTTTTTAAAAAAAGCCGGACATTTACTGATGTGACTGATTATATATTAGGTGTATACTCTTCGTCCAACAGCTAGAGAGGGTCTGTCAAGAAAATTGTGTTCATGGCGTCATCTGGTGTCACGTGACAGGGCATTTAATTTGCAAACTTGGAAGCCCTCTATCTCCTGAAGTAAGAATCCCATTGAGATGAATCTTTACAGATATCTAGAAGGAAATGTGTGATACACAAAAATTAACATCATGGGATGATGACATAATTAATTTTAAAGTTATGTGCATTAACCACTTCATGCCGGGGCATTTTTCAATGCTGATGATGCTAGGCCGGCATGACTATCATTTTTTCCGTTTTCAAAATCCTTCAAAAATTCATCATTTCATGTAACGGTCGTATATAGCCGGTGTTAGTCTGCTGGGATATAGTTTTTTTTTTCAAATTATCTACTTATGAAGTCAGTGGCAAAGTTTGTCCGAATCGCCTGAAAATTGATGTAGATGACCGTCTTTACCCAGTCAACACATGTGTGAAGTTTGTTACAATAAAAACTTCTTTTATTATTCGAAATTCGGCAAAAAATCAACCGTAAGCGATAAAAACTTGAATTGTGCACGAGATGCATAATGGTGTACTTTTTCACACACGTGAAGCGCCACCGACAAAAACCCCCTAGAATATAAACTGCCCACTCGAAAATCCCATTGGCATGCTGTGCATATGCTTGTGTTTTTTTTCTCCTTTTTCTTCTTGTTTTGTACACATTTTTTGTTGCCGTAACTTAAGTGCTTTTGCCACTTTCGATCTTCATCAAACTTATACCAATGACAAACCCTTATGCACAGATGGTCCTAGAAACATTATGTCATGATGACGTCATCAAGTGATTTATTATCGATTTTTAAATTTTTAATTTAGCCCGTTGACTTTGTACACATTTTCAAGGCGTTTTTTTCAAACTTAGTAATCGCTGATGGTCGTCAAACTTACAGCAAGCACTAACTATAAAACGAAGATAATTCTGAAATATTTACGTCATGATGACGTCATCAAGTGACTTATTATTAAATTTTGAATATTTTATTATTCCGTTGAATTTATCAAAATCCATATAAAATCAACTGTGGTCTCCTGCAACATTCTGTTTGCAGCAAGTGGCAGGATAAAATGTGGTATTGAATTCATCTCGTTTGGTTCAAATCATGTTACCCTTCCGGTCGAAAACGGAAGTGGTCTTATTGTTTAAAAGTGGTAACAGTTATCAAGTTGTTTCCAACCGTGTTAGTCTGTTCGGGCATAGTATTCTTCAAATCATTTACTGATGATGTCACCTAATTGTCGCGCGCCTTCTCGCAACAGATTAAAAATTCCGAAAAATGAATTTTAAATGGATGTCTGTGGTGAAGTTTGTCCGTAAGAGCGTGAGATGTCCAGGAGATGACAGTTAACACATTGAAGTCAGCTGCATGAAGTGCATAACTGGTGTACTTTGTCACACACATGAATCGCCGTCGACAAAACCCCCTAAAATATAAATTGGCAACTCAAAAATCCCATTTGCATGCTGTGCATATGCTACTGTGTATGTGTGGACGCGCAATATCTGCCTGTAACATAGCCCCTTAACAACTTCAGATCTTCGTCAAACTTGCACCAATGAAGGACCCTTATGCATGGTCCTAAAAGATTGACGTCATGATGACATCATCAAGTGATTTATCATTGACTTTTTCAATATTTATTTCAGCCCCATTGACTTTTAGCCCAGCTAGAGAGGGTCCAAGAACAACATTGTCATAATGACGTTATACGGTGTCGGCTGACATAACATGAACCCCTGCTCAACGGGAATTTCTTTCCAAAAGCCGACTCCAAGAAATCCAGCCGCGCTTGGCCACGAAGGCCACCTGCCAAACCGCAAATTCTCGGTTTGTGGCCCAGCATGCTCTGCACGCTTTAAATTACACGGTGAAAAGGGTGATTGTTCAGTGGCATGCAGCTCTACTCAACCTTCCAGATTCCTGTTGCCTCTTTTCAAAGTGGGGACTATTGTGAAGCTGGTGATTATGATGCAAACTTGGTCTTTTCATTTCTGGGCTACAAAGACAATTACCATGTACACAAGAGCCAGGGTCTGCCTTCTTTCACCGTGTTCGCTCAAGCAAGGGCCGAGAATAATAGCAGAAAAGTTGGCTGAGGATCTCAATTTTTACGGCATGTCTTAACGCGTCCCGGCGTGAAGGGGTTAAAGGAACAACCTTCAAAGCATTTTATCTCCTGCAAGCGTGTCTGCTTTGGTTGAAATTGACCTCATGTGATAATGACATCATCATGTGACCAGTCACGTGACATTAAAAGTGCACTCCTTCAAGCAATGTATCTTGAAAAGTACTTGTCTGGTTGGGTTCAAACCTTGCATTTATCTTGAAAGGCAAGGGCTTCGGACGAATAATGACCTGATATGATAATGACGTCATCAGAAGACAAGTCACGTGACATTAAAGGTGCACTCTTCAAAGCACTATATCTCGTGAAGTACATATTTGATTGGCTTAAAACCTAGAATAGGGAAATGATTTGGAAAATCAATGCCAACATGTCATGTACAAAATTTTAAAATCCTCAGATGGACTGTACCTGTAGTGTGCAGCGGCTGGATGAAGGAATAGGCAATGACAGGTACATAAATGCCTCAAACTTGACAGATGAATGACCACAAGACAAGCAGCGAACCATGGACTTAAACTGCCCTTGGAACAATGTCACAATGATGGACTGGTTGAGTTTTTGGTGGTATTTCCAAGAGATGTCAGCAGCTACATGGTCTGGAAACTTCTCCAAATCCTCTTCTTTTAAGTACTCTCGCTTCTTAACCTTATGCAAATGAATGTAAGTAAAACTGAACCTAGATTATTTGAATGAGTAACAGCTGTACTTTAAAAACTCAATGTGTTTGTCATGTCTGAGTGAATGAATAATTCTCAAATGTACCAAAGGTAGTCATCAGCTTAGCTTATCTGCTGCATGTATGCTTACTGAGCAAAAGAAATCAGCTTGTTTCATCTATATACCGACTTCAACAGCATAATTAAATATCATTCACCTCACAACCATAGCACTTCACAGTTGTGCCCAACCTACATAAGGCGCCAAGTCAAAATAGAAACGGTTCACCAAGCGGGAAATGATTGCCCTTAATCCCCTTTCAAACCATTGCCCGATTCAACTGCAAGTGGGCAATGATTGCAAGAGAGCGTTTCCCGAAAAGGAGTTGGCTATGCAGCAACCTCTTTGATGCATACCACCATTTCCCCCACCTTGGTACAAAAGCCCTGACTCCCAGCTTACCAAGAATGGTTATTGTGCATCGGCTTTGTTGTGTAAATTGGGCCAGTTCATCCACAGGCTTAGCACAGCTAATTCAGAAGGGGAAGAAATTAATCTCTTAACAAAAGACTAATTCCATCAGAGTCAACAGACCTTTGTGCTTCACTAAGTCTCGTGTCATTGAATTAAGATCTGTAGTTTTCTTTCCCAAAATCTAGCACTGTCAGGCAGTGATTTCCACATCACAGATTTGTCAATAATTGGAATAGACAATAAACTAAATTGAGAACATTATAGATGCAACAATCACAGGACTTCAAAATCAATCTAAAAAGTGAAATAAGAAAAGTCGACTAATGTTGGTTAGGGTAGCGTGGCAAACTGAAGGAAAAAATCCTTATCCATGTAAAGGGTAGTACAAACCCATCCCTACCCCCCCCCCAAATTGTTGACATATCAATGGGCTGGGGTCCCAGCTGTTGATAAACAGCTCTAATGACTCAACCACCAGCCACAATTGAGTGTAATCCTTAAAGCTCTCTATTGTTAGAAAACATCACCCAAAAGTGGTGTTCATCAAACCACAAGCCATTTAGTTAGTGACTCCCTATCGTTGCCCGCTTTACTCTGAAGCGGGTAAGGAGCTCATCGTTTATGCATCGTTTCCTACTTCATGAACCATTTCTATTTTGACTTGGTGCCTTAGACACTAATTTGATGGCTCTACACACATTTAACCTCCAAGGTCTAGTTTGAGCATTTGTGTGTGTGTGTGTGTGTGTGGCTCTACTTGTGAAAGGTGCAGAAGGAACTCTTCTGTGTATGAACACAGCCACAAATCAAGGTTGGAGGACACAAATCGAGGACACCTTCAGTTCACAATACTGTGAAATTTTGGGCCACAGTGAGCATTACTACAGTCAGTGAAGTGTTTGGAAGCCATCCTCGGTGTACGTATTTAACACGCCAGGTGTTTTAAAACACCCGTTTTATTCGAATGTATTCTGACTGTTTGGACGCATCCCTGGATGGAATTGCACCTCTTTTTAGCTCTCTTGCTGTGCCAGCCCTAGGGTGGGCCAGACACATGCATCTGGCCAATTGTTGGGCATGATAAATGTTGCTAAGGGACACACAACCCCAACATACCTTGTCAAACTGTCCAAAAGTGTCATACTGTCACTTTGCCTGTGAACAGCTCCAGCTGTTCTCAGATGAAGTTTTCTTCTACTGAAAATATGGCAAGTAAAAGTGATTTCATTTGAAGTAGAATGTTAAGCATGACTGGACCCTACCTCGGTACTGTTTTAGGACATGTATCCATGGCCTTAGTAGTACTTACAGTATGTGTACTACATGTAGTAGGCCCCCATATTGTTGATACGCAAATGTAACGCTTAGACTGCCGTTAGAGTGGACGTGCCAGAGGAATAGGGATATGAAGTCAGAAATGCTGTATCACAGAAGACAGTTTCAAAGTGTAGACATTTGTGACACCAGTATAGTGGTTAAAATTGTGTCGAAAAGGGCATTTCGTTGTAGCGGATGCGGGCCTGTCAAGCAAGATACCTATTCCCCCATCAGTCCAATCCAAATACCATAATTTTTGGAATATAAGCTAGGGCTTATATGTTAATTCTTACACTAAAAATGTCTCAGCAGCTTATGGGCTAGACGGTTTATACGGCAAACTGTGAAGGATAAAATCAGTCACAAAAGATACCCCCAGGCCACACGTACCACGTGCTGGTGGTGCAGTCATGGTTTTGTTGGTTGCCGTTTACATAACTCAAACCTCGGAAAGTAAATTAAAAATCACATTGTCTGGATTTCGAGTTATTAAATGGAATTACCTGAGTCATGGAGTCAAAAAACACATACATAAATTGTGTACATGATCATAACAAACTTTACTTGCTCTGCTGTGAAGGCAACATTTTAGTGATTATTTTCCCGCTTTTTATTCATTACAATGAAGTATTTTTGCAAACAAATAATAATTTTACTGAGATTTTTTAATTGTTGTTATCCGAAGGTTTCTTTCGACCTTGAAAAAAAAATCAACCACTTAAATGGTAAGAGTACCTTCGTGTAGCAAATCTCGTCTTTTCATCAATCGTGTTCGGCATGACATGCCACAGAATTTCGGGCTTGTCACCTGGGTTTTCTGATGACCTCACGTTCTGTGGTCAAATGATTATCGAAAAGAGTCAGCGATTGGACTGTCCATGAATGCATCTGTGGTAGCAGTCAGGATAGCACGAAAGCAGGATTTGTTCTGGTCGGTGCGGGGTGGTATATGCAGTGTGTGTGCCATGCAGCATGCAACATGCAACACAGGTGGTCACACTTGGCAGTGATGACTCAAACCAAGGTCTCACAGCCGTCCTTTACCTACTATTTTTGAAGCGATCCGCAGTGGTTTATTTTGATCAGCGTCACAAAAACTTTGAGATAACTGGATGTAGTATTGTGAACATTTGGAGTTACACAGGTATTTTTGTACATGAAATCATATTCTTTGAGTACACACTGTAAGTAAAAGTCTGCCAATGAGATGAAATGGTCTTTTGACTTATTTATTGAGGCATTGTTTAGGAGCAAGTTAATATAAAAGTTATGATTCAATGAGTCTTTTTGGTAGTCTGGAAATGCAACCGGATCTGGTGATGGCAGTGCTACAGTTCAGTCCTGCAGATTTGTCTGTTGAAGGAGGACATCTGGTGCCTTGGCCACTGGACCCGACTCAACTTGGCCTGGCTGACTCACTGCTAGCTGGTTGTGGTATGAGCTGAGACAAATTCACACGTGTGACAGGTGTTGAAGATGCTTTTGCGTTCTCCCGACTGTCTCTAAGGTGTACGCAATTGCATACCAACTTCAACAAGGTGACTGCCTGGGGCGATCTTGGCTATGATTATCTCTGGCATCCATGGAGAGTTCTCTACCTTGGGTTGGGTCTTGGCACGTACTGGCTATCCCACAATAAGCACAGGAAGGCTTTTGACTGTGTGGTCACGGTACAGTTTGGCCCTCTGTCTCTTGGTCAAGACTTACTCCGTCACAGCCTCTATGACCTGGGGTCTGTATAGTGTGTTCTTGCCTGGGAGGAACGAGCGTGTTCATCAAGATATGAAATGCTGTACTGGGAAACTAGACATTCTCTGTGTAGTGGTGTTCCTCCACTCAAGGATAGCCTTCCACACGTCACTGTTATCCTTTGCAGCTTTTGTCAGCAGTTCTTTGACAATTTTGACAGCAAACTGTGCCTTTTTGTTGGATTTGGAGTGGTGAAGGCTGGTGGTGATGTGTTTAAATTCCCACTCTTCTGTGAAATGGGTGAACTCACTCAATGCGTAATTTGGCCCGTCGTCAGTGATTAGAGTATAAGGAATGCCATGAGTAACAAACACTGGCTTCAATTCCTTGATAAGCAAAGTGGAAGTCTTATCTTCATAGCACTCCTTTTCCATGACGGTCAGTAATGTAGCCACTCGGATGGACAAAACTTTCTTATTCAGTTCTGTGGCTACCAAATAGTTCTGCTAACTTGCTTTGAAGAACTGCCAATTGGGTACCTAGTCTCCTTTCATGGCAATTTTGGCCAGTGGGGGAATGAGCGAGTATGGCACAATTAGCATGTAGTGTGAGTACAATGCACTGTAGAGTGTCTGTTACAGGCCTCCGTAGTTTCCAGTAAGACGCACATTGTTTAAGCCAAAATTTCAGTGTGTGTGCAATATGTGGGTACATTCCACGAAATCATTGTATTTCTGCACGCGAGCTCATTGATATTTTGTGATCCCACAAGATTTTTAACTTTAATAAGACATGCCATAATCAGCAAGGATCATAGAAATATTTCCATAAATCCCATATTTGGGACTGATAATTAGTTTCAAGTTTGGGGTGTTTCTTTCACAAAAAGCCCTAAATTGTGGGCCTCCTTTGGATACAGGCAGGTGGCTATTATACATTCAGAGCTGAGCACATAGTTTTACTACTATTTAAGCGATATCTTTTGGGAAAGGCAAATAAAACAAATGTTTGCGGCTAACCCCCATAAAATTGAAATGAAAAGTGATCTTCTGGCCATAATCTATAATTTCCTGTGGAAAAACAGAGGCCAACCTCTTTACAAGAGTCACCAGGCGGCACTATTTTGGTTTGATTTTGCACTGTTTCCTAAGGGAGCGTATTTGGTGTAGTGCAATCATGTACCATCTACATGTACAGCATAACGCACGTTCACAACAATGGCGAATGCTACAGGTGAAATACTCAGTTTCTTTATCAGTCACTGACACAGCTTACTGTGTGTGACAGGATTGGTCTGTACTGTCAACAGATGCCTGGTGATCTGTTCTCCAAAACTGCTGAGAAGTTGGTGTGGCTTCGCGGCAACGGTGATGGATTCAGCTAATTTCTGACACCATGTTCTGAGGATGGCAGGACGTACTCCACAAATAGCATTCACTGAAAGTGGGTTATTACCAACCCATAACAACAGCGCACAACAGGGATACGGTAACCACATAATGCCACTCCATGACAGACTCAACCTGACAGGCAACCTCCACTGACATGTGAGTATTGCAGCCATGCATGCTGCCCAATAAAGAGTCCCCATTATGCTGTGTCACATAATTTCCTCTTTGTTCCGGGAATTAGCCCGGTGTTGCTATGCAGAGCGTGTGAGCCATGAGGGTGAACCGGCCCATCCATGGGCACAACAGGACAATGAACGCTGCACAATATGGCCAGATTCCATGAGCGCTCAGCAGTACTGTGTACCACTAATTGTTGGAACATGTGATTTTGTTGATACTGATAATCCGCTGGTGCTGACAGCGGCAAACAATGATACTATTTCAAAACAATAACTGAATTTTGAAAATGAACATATATTGATTAAGGGCAAAAGCCGTATTTAAATGACAGATAACCTGTGCTAATGGCCAGCACTCTGCACTGACAGTGTACGAACCTTCATTGGCAAGTCCCAGCAGAGCGGTCTTTTGTTTCCAAGTTCAGTCACCCCGGCCATGAATAAAGGTCCAGTTTTCCAGTGTAGTGAACCCACTGTTGCAAATCAATGATGGAATTACCTTCGCCGATAACCCAAACATTTTACTAATAGCAAGTAGACTTTTCTAAAAATGCCCAGCAACTTTATGTTTATCAAAAAGAAAGTTCTGATTTTGGGCACCCCAGCCTCGTGGGCAACACACCGTGTCTATGGTACCGGATACCCCAGCGTGAATTGGTTATGGTTCCTTTCAGATTATCTGGTCAAATTTGTCAGCAAATAGGTCACTCCTGATTGGAGGGCCAAAAAGATTGTCATGTATCAGTGATCAACCCGGACAACAAGTAAACACTCAACCAGTGATGAACCTATGCAGAAAGGAGATCTAGGCCAACAACTGATGAATCCTCAAAAGCTTGAGCAAAATTACAGAAATACACAATATACAAATAGCACATATGCTGATCTAACTTTCCACAATCAAGGCCTCAAGCATTTTTCAGGGGAAAATGCTTCCCTGTACCACTTTCTTAATATGTAGTTAGTTTGTCTTTGAATTCCAAACAAACTATAAGGAAGAAGTTACTGAACATGATCAATCCCAAATCAGAACAATTTGAGATACATGTACATCAGTTGCTTTTAAATCTACATCATCCAACCAAAAAGGTTTTGATATATTTGGTCACCATGCATGCTTCATAAATGATACACCACAAATACATGTACATAAAGATTTGAAAGCACTGCATTCACAATAAAGCAGTGAGTAGGGGCGTTATATGAGCCAAGATTTTACAAGTGCACGTCAGTTCACACTGGTTTACTATATGTATATTTCTTCCACACACAGAGGACAAGTTCAATCAGGGGCATAACCAATTCCTGTCTTGACTTATGAACGATGATCAAACAGCACACACCATTGCTACTACTATTGGTTGACTGCACAGTAGTCAGTCATAAGGTTTAACCACATAGCTACATCTTGGACATCCTGACGATGTCCTCGAGATGTAAGAATTACAGAATAGGTGTGCCCTTCCTACAAACCTCGCAAACAATTTTTATTGAGTTTCTTCAGCACATGGCTGAGTCATTATTTTTAAACAACAACTTTTTCTATAATTACTGCAAGAATTTCCATGTGAAATATGAAATTTATGGTTTGGACTCAGTGGAACCCTGCTTGCCTTAGAAAAAGGTCAGGCCACCAGACTACGCCACCAGGCAGATCCATTATGTGAGATCCATGAAATAGCAGATTATTCAATTATTTACTGCTTACATAATATAACCATTTTCCCAAACACTGATAAAACTTAACCACTGTATATACACATTCCTGCTCCCTTGTAAAGCCTCCCTCTAATCTCATATGGGGAGGTTTTCATGAATGTGTGCACACTCTTTTCTTTCTTGTAATAGAAAAATTCAGATGAAAATACTATCACCGTATTACAATAGCACATGTTGTATTGCTACTTAAGTTCAATGCACGGATTGACCTTCAACAGTAGAACTGCTTCCAAGTAATGAGCCTCACTTAAGGAATGACTAATGGAATCACAAGGCCCTTGGGGAGGAAAGCAGGGCTGGACCGGATGGGTCATGAAGCAGCCCACCGGCCTTATAAGGAAAAGTCAGTGTTCATTAATTTGACTAACCCTACCCTCAAATCCAAATGAAACAAACATATTCATGCACACTGTATTAATATTCAAAGACTAGTAGCTAATACCTAATAAGGCAAAGAAACTTGTATGGTGGATAAAAAATGGAATGTCCAACGAATGTATAAAATCCCTGTGAGCTCTGGCAATTGGGCAGAGAGAGCCGCACATTGAGCCGGCCGAATAAACCACATCGACTACATTACAACTTTGTCCCAAGTCATCCTTTTGTGTCGATCCATATAACCTGTTGGGTTATAATACACATTGTGGTTTCCCTTTTTATTGGCTTTAGCTTAATAAATGATTGATAAATTTATTTTTCCTCAGCTTACTGTTTTAAAACTAAATCTACATGACTCAGGGATCAGGAGTTAAGGATACAACTTACCATCATCTGCAAACATTCTAGCCAACATGCTTTCTGGCTCCCGGCCTTTCAGTGTACTCCTATCAGACAAACATTCTCAAGTGAAACTCGTGCCGTGATTCAAAGTAGAAGATTTATAATGTACCAGGTATCCTACTTGATTTTAACACACACTTTTTAAATTTCTAAAATTGGTACAATTGCATTTGGCTCCAAAACAAATCCCGTTTAAGTGTTTTTTACATCTTTACTATGATAAGGGGTACTGATATAATAATCAGATATGCTAAAAGCTATATAGAATTTACATCTTCCCAATGCAAATCCATCCTTGAAATATGATATGCAGCATGCTTAGTAAGGTGGTGTAATTAACACTGTATGTACATGTACCGACTGTTTTAAAAGTCCCTTGGTAATCTATGAAGTGTTCTTTTCTCCTTTTACTTCACCTCGGAAAAATGCTCAACAAAAACCCTGTACCATGTTAGTCTTGTACTTATACTGTACCTTGTAGTTGTGAAGTGCTTCCCACCAACATTGAGGGTGACCCAGTCACTGTTATTTGTACATATACTTCGACCGATGCTAGCGCCAACACTTAGTAGGGAACAGTTCAATTTCGGATCTGTTGGAAGAGCTTTCTCCATTAAATTCATAATAATTGTTGGGTGGGCTTGGGTTAGTTAGGTGCATGGAACTGGGCTAAGTTGGGTTGGTCAGATTGAGATGGGTGGAGGGGTGTTTAGGTCAATTGGCTGGCAGTGCATATTTTTTCCTTACACTGTAAGTGTGCTTAACTTTTTGGTCAGTCTCGTTTTGACAGAACAGCAGCCAATTTCACAAAACATGCTGTAACTTTGAACCATGCATAAACCTTGGGCCACAGATTTGTGCTGAAGCTGTACAACATACAAGTTTAGGTTTGACTTCATTAAAAGATGCTTAGTTGTGCCATGTTTTAATAATATTAAATTTCTTGGAAAATTCTTGTTAAATTCAGCAATGATGAACCTTAACTGAACTAGTCAAATCGTTTAATTTTCTCTTGTACACCATAATTTGTAGTGCAAGCTGCAGACTTACACAGTGCATACAGTGCATAAGTTTCATGAAATCGTTCTTAATTTGTTGCGCAACATACGCAATAAAATGTGGTGCAAGCGACATTACACAATTGCATAAAGTTTCATGAAACTGGCTGCTGGCATTTCTGTGATTGGCATATATGGTCTAATTTTGTTACAGTATGTACATTACTTGTAATGTATGTTTTGATGTCTAACTACCCGGAATTCTCACAAACCTGAGTTCTAACCATACACAAAGGTCCACATTTGAGTATCCTTTGTGCACATGGCTGTGTACACAGACTCCCCCACAGGCATCCAATACAAGTGCTACAACTAAGATATGATCTTACCTATGAATGGGCTTCCATCCGAAATATACAAGGTTTCATCATCCCTATTGTTGAGGAAATCATATAAATAATACATGGATGAAGTGTAAAAGAAAACATATCAATTAATAATTTCTAATTTACATGTATAATACACAACATGAATAAACAATAGCAGTTAAATGCTGATTGATAAAAAAGCTTTAAACTAGAATGGCTAAGCCGCCATGGCTAACTGCTTGTTATGAATTTGAACTTCTTTCCCGTAATAACAGCTTATGTTAAGAGACATCAAAGTTATACAAATATGGTTACTAAATTAAACAAGAAAATACTAACCAAGTTTCATCACAGTTTTTTGCAAGATTGGTGAACATACAATTACAATACAGATGTACAAGACATTTTATCTACCTTAGCACTAAAATTCATCGTACTCTGGTAGAAAAAAACCTAGTTACTACTGTGTGCAGACTGTGTGTTGAAAGGCGCCTGCTGTATAAAAGTTAATCAACAAAGACCACCAAGGGAGATAAGCATACAGGAGCTTTACAGGAGAGAAGAATGCCTTAAGAGTGTGGGTCCAGTCCAGTCAGACTAGACCTGGACGCCTAGATAAGCAGTGCATTTGTGAGTTTGATGAATGTGCGTAATTAAAATTACTCTTAAGAACACTTCTGCACTATGCATTCAACCCCATCATCCTACAGTATCTTCTATAATTCTATCCCCCCCATCCCATCATCCCATATCCACCATGTCTACTTTGTCTTCACCTATAATTCCATCTATCTCCAATCCCACATCCACCTTATCTTTCCATCCATATCCTACACCACCCATCATCTCCTACTCTGCCCCTCCCCATTATTCCCTACACTTCTTACTCTAGCTGTCCAATCATCCCACTTATCCAGCCCAACTGTTACGTCAACTTGATCCAGCATTTCATCCACTTTCTGCATACATGTACCTTGTCCCCATGATCTTCCTTCTACAGGTACCCCTCCTCCAACAAACATCCTAATCTGTTACTTGGAGTCCCCTCATCCCTGACATTTTGTCCACATACAGTGTACATGTACATTTGTGTGTCTAAACACTGTCTATACATGTACATTACAGGAGTGCTCAGTACATATATGTATACATGTAGGTACACACACATGCATGTACTACAGGGAAAGTACACAATACAACTCAAAATGTTAACATCATCTTTTATGATTTTTTTCATTAAATTTATAAACTACGCTTAAAAGCATTAATGCCATATGAGACTATTTATTCAGAATAGACAAAATTCCAAGAGGAAGCAAACAAGCACTCAATTTTAACATTTGAACACATTTTAACACCTATGTACCTGCAAGAAAAAACGTTAAACATTTGAGGACGGCTGGATAGACGGATGCCCCGATGGACAGACGGACAGAAGACAGAAATCGGTATTACATACAATGTAGGTAAATCTTTGTGCTGAGACCATTCTGTGCAGTCGGGGGCTCTGTCAAGGGTGCTCCTCAGTCTGACAGAGGTCAGCCTTTTGCTAAGAGGGGACCAGCTATGCTCGATTAGATTTAATGCCGAGTTCTTTGGGGTGTACTTGGTCATGCACACAAAGTCTAAATTAACCTTCCTGAGTAGACGGCCAAGAAACAGAAGAACTTCCAAGACGCATCACCCCAGTCTGGACCCCCATCAACTATGAGAATGATCCTCATTCTTCCCTTGGAATCCTCCTTGGAAATGTGGGTGAGGTCTGCTATTGAATACCTACCCAAAACAGTCGCTACATATGCAAATTCCTTTGCGTCTGATTCAATTCACTAAAACTTCTGATCAA